TGCCAGTAATTCTTGAATAAAGCTTGAACAAGCATTTATACTAATAACTATAGCTCAAAGAGGCTAGGTTGCTAAAATGTTTTCATGCCTTTACAACCAAACAACTAGGCTAGGCTTAGCCTAACAAGGGAGGCTAATTGTTATGATGAGCTTGTATCTACTGGTCACCGATCCCAGGATTTAAGGCATGATGATAAGTTATTACATAATTTTCGGCCTGGCGAACTAAGATTAGGCGCATTCTTTAAGATTTTGTCTCCAGTAAGGCTAAAAATAGGATTTGTATTTGCTACAGGTCCTCATGCTTGCTAGACAACCTTGACTCTAAGCGACCTCGTTCGTGAGCACGATCGGTTCTCTCGGCCGCCTCCCTGCAGACGAAATGCAAGCCACAGGTTCTTATTTGCATGTTTGCCTCCGACCATGACTCCGCGTTGATTGAAGAAAGAGATGGTTTTCCGCGACGCGATACCGTTATTTTCGTGTCCTTCCGTGCCTAAGTGCTGCATTTCTTCGATCTGTGTGCTCATGCACTTGCCGTTTTATCAGCATCAGACTATGTGTAGAGCGCATAGAATTTGGGACAGGCGAGACAACCATGTGTCTACCTAATGTCTGCATACATCTAAGTTGAATAGTACATTTTTTCATCTGAATTTTAGCTCTACCATACATTTAAAATCTCAAACTAGAGCAAATACTACCAGTAGGGAAGTAGCTCAGAGGTAAAAATGAGTGAGTATTGGTTAGCCTTCAAGCCCTTCGGGTTGGTCATCGGTGGTTCGTGAATACAACATTCGTCACTGGATGGAAAGATATCAGGATCAGACATGTTTGATTGAGAAATGGTGTGCTCATTAGGAAATCAATGAGACAGAAAGTTGGTCCAAGTCGTATGTTCCTCTATCTTCTCTAGCTTTGGTATGCTTACTTAAATTTAGTGAAGACAAGAACCATTCTGTCGGTAGAGCACGAGACTTCTTTTGTTTCTGGTTGACCGAATAATGTTTTTTCGTTAGACTCATCGGCCAAATACGAATTCTTACTAGTTTATCTGATGTATGGCCAGATAATTGCCGAGCTGGCGGAATACCAATTCGTCTGTACTAGCGATAGATTATCCATTCTGTTATTTGTGCCAGCCCTGGTTAGAACTGTCGGCGATCTGTTCGTCTAAACGCAGCTCTTGTTCAACGGGATTAGACGGGATTCGTATACTGCATGACTCGGGTGAGTCAATCTGCCAATTTGCGGTCGTAAAGGCAAATTCCCA